CACAAAGCTGCATGATTAGTTTTTTTCTGCCTTTATTGTCTGCCATGGTTTAGGTTGGAAAGTGCTTCAAACTGTATAGTGTTTTATTTCTGTAGCAGTTCACATATGGAAAGTAAATGAGATGTAAGTTGTGTTCAGATTTAAAAACGATATAATGGGGTAATGTTCCATGCACTCCTGATGTAGAAAGCTGATGTAGTCAGCATACTCACTTTGTGAGAGGATGTGTTCACACTGCTGAGATAATTCACATAAGCCTGCTTTCTATCAACCATACTGCTCTTATTTGTTTCTTTCAGGTCTGATCGTGGACATGACTGGAGATTATAGAGCAGGCTTCTACATGGCAGGAGCAACTCTTATCCTATCAGCTGTGTTTTTAGTTACTTTAGATCAGATCCAATAGAGAAAAGAAAAAGGGACCCAGACCAATACTAAACAAGAAAACTCGATGTTACACTATTCTACCCTCCATCTCCTGAAACTTCAAACCAAAAGGTATCAATAACATGATGTAGTGGTGGTACTGTATTGGATATCTTACAGCATTTCAGGAGATACGGAAGTATTTTCTCTGAACTCAATATAAATCGGATTTATAAAATGATGGAAGTTTTGGATCAGAATGTTTGAAACTGAGGAAGAAAATAATTTAGCTTGCAAGGAAACCACACCAGTAACCATTAGCATATTATTTTGATGTTGGAGTTGCATTTTGACTACAAGTCTTCAACACAGTCCCCCAGGGCTGTGATAAGCAAACTAGGGAAACTGTGGTCTAAATGAACACATGACACATATATGCAGCAGGTAGAAACCCCAAACACAGACTGCAGCCATAACTATCAAATAGGAAGAGGTGTCATCATCACAGATTTTCAATGTAGGGAAATAGTGTTCAGTACTTCCAGTAAACAAGTTGGATGTGAAAGCAAGAGTACATGAAAATATGTTTGAGCTAAAGGCAGGTACTCTACAGAGCAGAGCTGGAATCCGAAAAATAAGTAAACCTGATAATTGGGGAAAGTTACATGAACAATAGAAGTATCAGAACTAAAAAACAATACACACAGGCATAAAATGGAGAACGATTGATGAAAAACAGAGGAAGACATAAGGCTACAGTGGACTTCAAACCAAGTAAGAATCCCAGATGCAACCCTGTATTAATAACAGTAAATGTCTTCCTGTGTTATTGTAAGATAGAGAAGATAATGGTGCTTGTCAGGCTTCAACTTGAAGAGGTATATAAGTTGCAAAGAATTAAGCAGAATAAGAATGAGAAGGGTTAAGGAAGCAGCCTAAAGAAAAAGTGTGAGAAATTAAGTTTGTCTGATTTAGAAGACAAATGTTTTACTGAGCATGAGAACAGCCTTCAAATCCATAATAAATTGAGATAAAAAAGACAAAGTTAATTCCTTTCCTTGTTAAGGTAATTAGTAATTGATAGAATTTGCAGCAAAGCAAAGTTGTGTAATAGGGGAAAAATCTTCACTGTAGCCTGTTAAGCATAGAAACAGACTATAGGGAGAATATGAAAACAGAGGTATTAGAAAATAGATAAGATATGGGAGAGAATCTAAATATATTCAGTTGTGCTTCAGAACAGTGGGATGGCCTAGATGACTTCCTGAGATCCTCTTTAGTCCCACATTTCGCTATCCTGAGGCTCTCTGAGCAAATATGCAATTTATGAGATTCAAAAAAGTATGTATCCAAATCACAGTGTTTTGGTTCATTTTATTTTACCAGGGGGAAGAGAAAATGTAGAAGAGAGAAAGGGTTAGGTCATATTGTAAAAAAAACCAACACAGAACAGTAAAAGGGAAAAAACATAGCACTTGAAAGCTTTGCAACTATTACAAATACCATGGCTGCCTTAGTTATGAACTTCAGAAATTTTTACCATTAAATCACTTAACATGTGAAGTCAAATTTAAATGTAACTCACTTACCTAAAATATTTTTTTTTTGTCTCATAAGAGTATCAATTATTTCAAAAATTTAATTTAACTTTCAGGAAAATTACTGAACCACTAATAAGTCAACTAACTGTAAGGGTTTGATTGTGGAACACATGTTGGAAGGGACACAACTGGGTGGGCAAAATCTTATAACAAGGCCCTGAAATTTCTGACAAAACATTTTTCAATCTTGTTAATTGAAAAACTTAGATTCTTCTAGAAAGTATTATTCTCCAGTCTTCTGCAGTGTTGCAAAATTTAAAATAACTCTTCATTTTCTAAAGTGAAAGGAAATGGGAATTGTTGGAGGGTGGAGAAATGGAGAGATGTTTAATAGATGCAGCTTCCACCTCCAAGTTTCTGTTAAAATTCTTTACATGAGTTATTTACAAGCCCTGTATTTTGCTATGCCCTGACATCTGACACAGTCCATAAAGAAGGCTGGTGGCATCCTGGGCTGTGTGAACAGGGGAACATACAGCAGATTAAGGGAGGTGATATTCCTCTCTGCTCCACAGCTGTGCCTCTGCTTTGGGACAAAGTACAACTGATGGCTGTGTATCTGTTTAATAGCACAGAAGTACCACCTAGTGTTAGTATTAATTTGCCAGGACCCCACCAGTCTGAACAGGCTTCTGTGACACTGTGAAAGGAGACAAAAAAAGTCATTCTTTTATTCCTTTTTGCTAAATGGAACTGATCATGCGGTCACTCTTGTCAGCTGATGTCTATGTATCTGTTTAATATCATAAAAGAAGTCTTAGTGTTCACATTAATTTTGGGACTGCTTTTACTTCAGCAATATTCCAAGTTGAGCTTCACTGGACTATTGCTGTAGGAATTATTTGCAAAGGGCTGTTTTTTTTTCCAAGCTGCTAATGATGTAGTCAGTCAGTGTTGCCTATATTCAGTTTCTTCAAACAAAGAGCTTCTGAGATTGCCTTAGAGACCTAAATCAGCAGCTTACCTGCAAGGAGTTTCTGACCCTAAACCAGTTAGATGCTCACTGGGCTAAACAGGACTGTGAGGCTTCAGAAAGAGCCATCATTCTCTTGAATGGCCTCCTGAAATTACATGCAAGGAAAGTCATAGCTGTGCCTCACTTTGATAGTGCCCAACTGCATCCAAAAGGTTCTCACCCATAGAATCATAAAATCATAGAACCATAGAATAGTTAGGGTTGGAAAGGACCTTAAGATCATCAAGTTCCAACCCCCCTGCCATGGGCAGGGACACCCATGATTGGTTATCTTTCATCTCATGGAAATAGTCCCATAAATCTGAACAATCAGCTGGCCTCAGAACTTGCAGTCAACCATGGACGAAGTAGCAGCAGAAAAACACTGCCAGAAAACTACCCAATCCTTTTTCTTTGGAAAAACAAGATACAGGAACACAAGCACCATTGCATTCATTGCATCCTCTTGGCATAGCTACTAGAGGATTAAGACTACCACTTCTTCTTTACTGTACTTTGTTCAGAGATGGAGCAAAGGGAGATGGGTCTGACACTAAGGACCACAGTTTCACTTTGAAATCATTTGAGGGGGAACTTAGATTCGTGAACCAGGCTTTCAGCACAGTAACGCATTAAAGGTGTCTGTACAAGGCAGTCCACGGGACAACATGTTGCTTCCTGGAGGTGCCTCAGTTGAGGCAGCAGCAATTTGAGGAACAACTTCTTCTCAAAAAGCTCCAAATCAGACCTCTAGTAGAAATGGTCTGCCCTGGAAGCCAGATAATACCTACTTTAATCACCAAACCATGGAGAAATGAGGATCTATAGCACCAACTGAAAACATATAGTATCATTATTCGATCTTACAGTACTTTTGTTACTGTTAATGTAGATTTAGCACTGAAATACTTGAGCCTTTCCATTGAAATTTCCATAAAACTCAAAATTAAAGCACTGACAGAGCTAGCAGCACTGCCTTGGAGAAATAAGGTTTTGTAAAAAAAACTGAGATCAGGACCAGGACATGATATTTCATCTTCTCCATCCAATTCTTCAATAGCATCATCGTGTATCTACATACCAGATGGCACCGCATATCCATGAGAAAGTTGATCTTTTTTTCCTTCCTTGTTAGACTATTAATAAAAGAGTCATTCAGAACACAAAATACCCAGTCAAATACAAAATATTGACATTTTGCCCCATCCCTGCCGGTGCTGGAGGCAGGAAGGAGCAGGCAATAATTCTGGTGTCACATGGATTTTCTCTAGGTCTGAAGTTTGATTCTGACAAGAACAAAAGGTACCCATCATCCTCTCCCAGAAGTGAAGATTTTCTGTGGGAAAACAGATGATTTATGATAAACACTATTGGATTTTCAGAGTGCTACAGAAGTTACTGTTGCTTGGGAACTTAATAGACTTGATGGCATACACTTACCGTTTTACAGACATGGGTATCTACAGAAACTTTCTCTGTATTTCTTTCACTTTTGAAACTCTATTGAGTTCTTCTGGAATAATATCAGAGCAACAATCAAACATTTGGTCAAATGAGCAAGTTTATGCTCCTTACTAATGTTTATCATTCTTCCTCCCGTTATTTTTCCTTCTGCAAAAAATGTGTTGTTTCAAACTTTAATGGGTCTAGCAAAAACAATTAGATCCTTCTGGTGTTAATCACACAGTGACTGAGGTTGAAAGGGCTCTCTGCAGGCCATGCCATCCAAAGCCCTTGCTCCAGCATGATCAATTGAATCCCATTGCTCAGCACCATGTCCAGACAGCTTTCGAGTATTTCAAAGGCGGGAGACTCTCCAGCTTCTCTGGGCAACTTCTGCCAGGTTTCAGTTACCCTCATGGTAAAAAAGTGTCTCCAGATGTTCATGGGCACCTCCTGTTTTTCACTCTGCACCCACTGCCTCTGGCCCTGTCACTGTCACTCTGGGCACCACCGTGAAAACATATCCAAAACCAGATCAGATTTTTACCATAGTTAGGCAAAGCGTAGAAGCAGATAAATGGTCTGGCTCTTCCTAGCCCTGCACTAGCTAAGAACATTGATGTCAAGACTTCTCATTTGATTTCCTAGGGAAATGGTTGTTGATCTCTCACACTCTCTGTTCTTTCCTGTAAACTTTTGAATCTGTCAGCCATTTTCAACCACATTTGGAGCCAGGTTCACAGCTTCAAAAATAAATGAAAACTTCAAAGTTTAAGTTTGAGTCCTTCAAACTTAAAAAAACCCTAGAAAGTGGCAGGAAATTAATGGTTAATTGGGAAAAATGACAAGCATAACGTGGCTCTCCTTTTTAGATTTTTTTTAATATGACAGTAACTAACACAGTACCCAGACTCAGAATTAGTCACAGACTGCCTTTTCTTGCCTGGTATTGTAAATGGAATTACTGCAGCATGAGCACAGGCAGTTCACAAAAGTGAAGCACAGGCTTCGTTAGTTCTGCAGCTCATGGGGCAGACTCTCTTTTTGTTGCAGCAGCTGCTTACCAGTACAGAATTAAACTGCACTTGCTTTAATCTAAACACTTCTATCATGAATAACAGCATCCATCTACGAGTTCTGCCCCAACTATACTGGTTTCCACAGTGCTAAACAGTGCAGAAAGTGTGCATAAACAGAGCTACAGTTAAACATGTGAAATCACCAGCCCTCTGCCACAAAATAATCATCCCTAAATCAAAACAGATTTGAATTTAGAAGTAGTCAACCCACTCTGGCAGCTTGTACTGATTAGGGAGGTAAAACAATGTTGAGCCATTTCTTAGAGGATATGTAATAAATGAAGACATAGCAAACTTTTTGAGCTGCTTGTCAGGAGGGAAGGATGCAGACTCTAGGAAAAAAAATAAAAGTCGTCTCCTTGCCTCTTTCATGCTAATTAATGCATTCAGAAGCTGTATTGAGAGGAATTTAAACTCGTGATAGTCATAAGAGAACAGATCAAAGAAGAAAAAACAGAGCAAGTCAAGGAGAAGAAAGCTGCTCATGCCTTTCAGTTAACAGACAGAATACACGTCTGAAAGAGGTGAGATTTGTAATTTTTTATTCTATGCAAAATTTTCTGTGTTGCTTCAAAACTGTGCTTGAGAAGAGATATAACTGCCTCTAAGGGAACTCTGAAAATATTCTGTTTCCTTTAGATTTTATATACTTTAACACGCTTTTTGTACTTTACTTGTGTAAGGTAGGCAGATAAGCTGGATACTATCAAGTAGGATCTGTTCTGCTCTTTAAATGACAGAAAAATTATTTTTGTAATTCTTCTTTACTGTTTGATCAATAAGATTTTTAATTGTTCAGACATTTAGCTGGATGATTATTACATTAAGACTGGAAATTAAGATTATAATACAAATTCCCTGCACATCTAACTATAGACTGTCATCAGACACAAATTAGTATAACCATCTGAAAAACAACAGATCTCTGAGTGTTTATGCTGGTTCAAAATGTGGCCCTTGGAACGTTTACAGGCAATAACAGAAATAAAGAAACAACTACTTCCACTACTTGAAAGGACAATTTTAATTTCATTTCTTCTGAATAGTTTTTCTTGTCTGGGTAATTTGCCTTTCTTTCTATATTCCTGAGAGATTTCACTTCAGAAGTCAGCCATCACTTAGTACCTGAAGAAACCATGCCAAATTCTTCTCTGTTGCATTCAGGTGCAAATGCCTTGACGTCAGTATAGCTATTCAAACATAGACTACAGTTGCAGTTTTGAGTTTGAAATCGAGACTGTCGCATATGTATATGAATCTACTTGATTCTGACGATATCCGATTGTCCTGCCTCCCTAGAATGCTCCCATTAAAACAAAAAAGTTGATAATATGCTTTATCATTGCACTGAGGCACTGTATTTCCATCTTGCAGGCTTGAGCAGGACCAAGCTCACAACATGCCCGGAAGAAACCACCATACGGATGGCAACTTTTTCAGAGGGAAAGGACATGGCTATCTTGCAGCAGAAGAGTAAGCATAAAGCAAAACCTATGTTAGCATGTAAGCTGGTGAAAAACATTTACATTGAAAGAAATGTACAAAATATTATCAGAAAACGTCACTGTTGAATATATATGGAGTACATTTTAGCTATCCGGTAATTTTTGTCATTGCAGAATCATTAAGAGCCCTCAAAGGTTAAGAAAAATCAGACTTCAAGAATCTAGATTTTGATCATATGATGATAAGTCATTATCCTCTACAATAAAATTACCAGGTTTATTGAGACTTATTCAGAATTTTCTTCTGAGGCTGTTGCAAGGTGATCTTTTTCACTGAGTTTTATCTCCAGATCCATATGCCTCTCTGCAGGACCTCAAAGGGACATTGTCTCACCCTAAAGAATCATGTAAGTGAAAAGCCTAGAGAAACAGAAAAATATCATCAAAAAGCAGATGGAGACATCAATGCCATACAAATGTGACCCTCAGTAAATTGTTTGGTGAGACTCCACTTAAGCAGAACTAATTCAGGCTAATATTTTGTTAGTTTTGTCTGACAATAAAATATGTTTGGTCTTTGATTATTATACACACTGTGGCACTGGGGATATATTATTATTTTAGATAAGTATTTCCAATGTGCTTGGGATACGTCTATGTGAAATGTGCTTCTGCTAGTGGGTTAGTGGCCCCCAAACTTGGTGACTTGTGCCACACACATACAGCAAGATACTTGTTTCTCCATGTTCAACCCTAGACAGAGAGAATAAACAAAGGAGAAGGTTCTCTCATAGTGCTTTCAGAGTAGTTCAGCTCTCCAAAAGCTGGCTGCTTATGTCTCAACACTTGAAACTAAGCACTTTCACCTGTAACTGCTATGAATTCCAGTGGCTGCAATTGTAAGCAGATTTTCTAGGTATGTGAGGGAAAAGTGACTCTCTTCCCAGTATCAAAAGGAGCATTCCAGATATAAGCACAGATTCCTAATAGCACAGCTCCATTTTTAACTGGAATTGCAAGAAATTGCATACATGCTTTTCATACTAGCCTCTTAAGCAAGTGAGGAAGGAGTTAGATGGCAAACACACAGTTAGAATCACCAACTCCATGAATTAGGTATATCCTGGGGAGGGGATAAAGGCTAACGAACAGCTAAAACTAGAGTGCACGTGAAAAGCAGAAAGCACTTTGTATATGTAGGATGTAGAATGTAAGAAAGGCAGCAGTTGCTTGGAGAAGCAGTCCCTCCAAGTTTTAACTGTGCTGGGGACAGGAACAAAACCAGTGGAGCAGTCTTGTAAGTCTGAAGATCAGCTGCAACACAACTGCACCAGGAAGCAAGTCGATGCCGTGAGCTCTGTTCTTGGGTTGAACAGATGAACACAAAGTCTTGAAGGGGCAGGAGCAACTTGCAAGATTCAGGTATTTGTGAAGAAGAAAAATCCCTTTGGGTCCATGGGGCTTTATGCTTCAAACAGCAGTTGGGCAGTTCAGATGAAGAAACAGCCTGCTCTGCCATCTGCTTGCATCTCCTTTCAGGCTTCTTGGGTCACAAGGAATCACTCCTTCACGAGACTCTGAGTCAGTGAAAATGATAGCAAATAGATATAGAGGGTCTCTGATAAGTCACATACCCAACTCCTCAGTCCCAATGGAAAAGCCTGGCAAAAATACACCCTGCAGGGCAACTGAACAGATGATATGTAAAAGTGTGTTAGGAAGGGTTTGTCCCAGCTCATGTGGTCTTTTTTTTTTACTGTCCTCTGTTCCCTTTAAGCATTTTGCAGACTCTTCTGTTCCTGAACAGGTGAAGAACAAAAAACAGGGGGAGTGAATTTCATATGTCTTACGAGGGAGGAGGAGGTTTTTTTTGTAACTAGGAAACTTGCAATTACTTTGTCAGCTTGTTTTCTGACAGATAGTGGAACTGTGCTGCGCTGCTTCTCCCATGTCCCTGGTAAGCAGTGGGAAGGATGTCTTACAGCACAGTTTGCAAAGCCTAAGTTCCCTAAAATGACCCAGTGACACTGGTACTGTGCCGGGCATGTCATGGAACAAGAACTGAAGAATTACACAGCTCTATGAATAATTCAAAGTTTCCTGCTCTGGTTTTGAGGTTGCGTAATGTTTCACATACCCAAAAAAACCCCTCCGGTCACCAGTAGCTGTTGCAATATAATGCAATTAGGGTACATTTCTCAATACTTTTTGCCTAGAGAAATTTAACAAATGAACATGAGCTGTGCCTCTGCAGGTGTGGCATTTATTAATTTCACATTGTCTTCCATTATTGCAATGCAGGGATTTTTTTAGAAGCAGTAGTCACTGTTACACCATTATCTTTGAACCAATGCATTCCTCATTTTAAAATGCTTAAGAACATATCAGAGAATTAAGCTAACTGCTTAATGTAGAGACTGGCTAAAGTTATTGGTATTTCGTCCAGTTTCTGAGGTGAATTATGCTCCATTCCTTTCCCTGATAAAAGGATACTTGATACAAACTACAAACTTGCTCCCATCAGTCTTGCTCCCAGATGAATGCACCTAGTTCTGGTGTTATTTTGTTTTGCTTTCCCAACAGAGCCCTGGGTATTGGACTCTTCTTTTTGGTGCTGGCAATTTTATTTATCTTTGGCTGCTGGTATTACAAAAGACGCAGTGGCTACAAAAGTCTACGGGTAAGCATGGCAGTTTGTGTTCTAGTTTGCTATTATTTTGATGTATTATTGTTGTTTGCATTATGTAAGTGCTGAGAACATCGAGTCTGTAATAGGACATCATTGTCTCAGGCAGTATATACACTGACATATACACAGGTAAAACAACACAATGTGAAACACAGCTTGCCCTGAAGAACTTGACAGTCAGGCAAAGTGGTAAGAAGAAGCAGGAGCAGAGGGAGATGATACCAGTTGCCCAACTTTGCCCAACACACCACTGGATGCAGCTAATTGTAGTATTATATTTAACACACAAACCCAAGATGTTTTCTGTGTATTTTCATTTAAATAAAAATAACATATTCACTGCTCATAAGATTTACCCCTAAATAAGGACAGATATATTTAGAGTAAATCTGGGAAGCAAAGCAGAAAAATAACTGTTACAGGTAAGTAAGCAAATACTATGTTAGTGTATGGGCAATGCATGATTATTTGTATAAAAGTCAAAATGCAATTTTAACATGTACAAAAAAGCAGGGCAGGTTTGAGGTTTGCTTTCTAAACACTACTTAGTGTCTTCTTAAAATATATTAAAAAAGGTACAATCCATCTTGTAACTTCTGTTATTAGAAGTCTCAAAGCTTTATCTTTGAAGTTCTGCTCTCTCTACTATGAAAGAGAGGTCACTTTTAATCCAATTATATATTTTACAGTAAATATATTTTAGTTATTCTAATATTTTGGAAAAGATGTGACTACGTGGAATTAAAAATCATACCTCTCATTTAAGTCAGCAAACCCATTTCATTGCTGTTTCTGATAACTTTGTCTTATTACCTTTCCAGTGACCTATCTTAAACGTGTATCAACTAGCAGAATACATAAAACATAAGTTTTCATAATGAAATGTTTCAAAAATGAAGGTAATACTGAAAAAAAACCCACCTCCTTTGAAAAGCAAACCAGAATTCTTTCATGCCTGCTTTGTACCTCATGGGAAAAAAAACACAATCTCTTTTTTAATTCCTTCTCTTTGCAAAATGCTGCTTTTTGGTTTTGAAAATCAAATTTTTGTTAGGTTTTTTGGCTAGGGGAGAACTGGTACAGAATGGATACAAAAGAAATGATGGAAGAATAGAACACAATAAGGTTGGAAATTAAAGAAAGAAATGGGTGGGATAAAAAGGAGATAGCATTCAGGTATGTGAGCAGGTCAGTTCCTACAGCAGCCCTGGACCTAAAAAGTTTGATCCTTATTTTTCTGGCAATGCAATTGAATAATACAGGAGAGACAGTATGTCTCAGCAGAGACAGGAAGAACAGATAGTTAGATAACCCCTCTTACTTGGTGGCACTATGTCTATCCCTAACCCTAGATTCTAATCCATAGTGTAAATGTGCTGTCAAGTATTAAACACTGCATAATTTACTCCAACTTCACATTTTCTTCTTTCTTTCATCTTCTGCGTATTTCCTCATTATTTGTCACAGAGCAAAAGTTCTGGCGTGGGCACAATACGAACCGCAGTAGGTGAAGGAACAACGCTGGACTGCAAAATGGCTCTGCAGGAGTACAGAAACTTTAATTCTGTGGTAAGTTTCATTTATTTACAACACAGTAAAACATGGTGAGACAATCTTAGTAAACAATGATTTATTTCTTGGGGTGTGCTCTCTATATTAGGTTTTCAGTGCCTCTACATTACATTAACTTAAAAAGTACTATTATTGTGAACTATTTTTTTTACTGGGAAAAGGGGTTTCTAAGCCCACTGTGGAAAATTCTGCTTTTAAAAAAGTCTCTCCTTTCACCTACCTTTATTCTTAAGTTGTATGATCATTATGCAATCTATTAGAATGCTGTAACACCTCACTTCTGAAATGTACTGAATAGACAAACACCTCGCGAGCAGGTGTCCCCTTTGCCATTCTGATAAACAACAGACGGATTGTATCTGGTACACTATACCCCAACAAAGATTATCAGGGAACATTATAAAGCTTCAAGGTTTTAGCTCCTCTAATCATTATGGAAAGAAGAACAGTCAAACCCATAATTTTAAAAAAGTTAAAGTAACTTAATTTATAAAGATATATGTCAATGGTGTATTTAATAGTTTTAGAATAGGGAAAAGGCTAATGTACAACCAATTTTAAATAAGCTGTCCAAGTTGTTACTATTTGAAATAAGACAATGTACCTGTGTCATAACTCTTAAAGTTTCAATATTATTGAAATAATAATTTTAAATTATTATTTTTAATTAAAAATTGAAATTTTTAATTAAAAATTTTCAATTAAAAAATAGAAAAAAATCCTTTAAGATTCCTGTCCTTTTAACACTAAAAATTTTCTCTTTGGGTGAATGATTCAAACAATATTCATTTAATCTGAATGAAAACCAAAGACCATACTAGCAAAAACTAATGTCATAATTTCCTTCTACCTGTTTTTTCAGTCTTTCACACACATTTTCCTTACCACAGGTACCTGATGCTCCACCAGCTTATGACAAAATCGCTGCAGATCACTCACCTCCACCTTATTCACCATAATAGGAGATCTTAAACTCTAATTTATCTTAGAGTTTTTTCTTAAACCGATTTGATTTCTTCATGCTCCCTCTTAATTTCCTGCACATGCTTAACTTTCTTAAGGCTAAAATAATGTGAAAAACATCACATGCTTTCACTAACAGTTGCTGGAATTTTTGCTGCTCAGTTTACAGAACTGGTTCTTGAAAAGCCTCAATAAATCTGAATGTGCTGCTGTTTGAAGTTTTTCATTTCCTGTCACCAGATAATACACTGTACTCAAGTCTGGGGATCTTGCATCCTTCACAGATCTACCAAGAATAAGTACATACCAAGGAGTATCAACCAGAATAGAAAGTGCTGTTTTCATCTTTCCCACTTATTCTCTAAACTATTCCCTAGACTGTAATGTACAAGAATCTGTCATAAAACAGACAAAATCATTTGACTACATGTCCTGTGACAAAGAACAACCATTTTCCCTACCAGCAGTTCTTCCATTAACCAGCAAAAAGCAACTATGTTTATAGCAGACCTCACATCACTTGTTTATGTACTTGCAATGAAATAATTCCTCACCAAACATGATCCAGACAATCCAGGAATTTCTATTTAGAGTCCATGTTATTTTATACAGGTCACTGGGTATAGTGATGATGACGTTTAGCTTCCTTCTGGCAGTCTTGTAAGAAAGTAAAAGAACTTGTCAGATGCAGAGCTTTATGTGTCATCTGTTTCTAATGTGAAGAAACAAATACAAGAAAATGTGGGAAGCCCATGTTCCTTGAAGAATACAGGAGACAGCAGGCTCCAAGATATCAATTCTTTCAGGCTGATAGAACACTAGCAGTAATAGTAAACAAAGAATTGTGATACAAACAAATTAGGCTACACACATTTGGAAGTTACTGTTTACTTAGCCTGTTTTGTTATTGTTTACTTGCCAGATTATATACTGATCAACACATTTATACCCAAGACCTGATGTCTCAAAGCAGGAGGCAGCTAAAACTGAACATTTGTTAAAATGAGAAGTAGTTACAGAAGAAAACTATTTTCGTGAACCATTTAACTGTTACCAGTAAAAAATCCAGTTCTTTGTTATCAAATAGGCAGACACAAGCACTTTAAAACAAACAAAAAATTAAATACAAGGGAGACTTACTTGCCTTACACAAACTCATCATGATAAATACTATGGTGATAAATAATAAGACATAGGTTTTTGGAAATGTTTCTTTTTTAATAAAAGCTTATACAAATTCATAAAATTAGGTACTTGTTAGAGGGTAATAAATATGTCTGGTTTTATAAATTTAGTAGCTATTTGTATTTAGAAATCTGTATTTAGAAATATGAGTAATTTCCAACATACACCTTCAAGGAAAAAATTCTGTGGACTTCTTTAGTGATAAGAAGAAAAATACACAGGAAAATACACAAAATGCCAGATTATAACTAGTCAGCTCCAGAGATGTAGAACACAATGGCTGACTATTTTTTGCAGATCTGGTAAGCTAAAGTTTGAGGCTAATGATCTTTAGCAACTGTGTACTCCGCAGCTCTATCATAAGGCAACATCCTTTCAGAAGACTGTGTGGTGCCACAGTTGAATCGAGCTGACATACGCATTCATGGCTGAGAAAAGAAATAATTTCTATAAAGATGAACTACTATAAAGATGTGAAGTACTTAGAGTTCAAACAGTTTTACTTGATCCCACACATTTTTCAGTCATATCAGCATTAAGCATGTTACCAGCCATTTCAGAAGCTCATGAGAAAGTTAACACTGATCAAGTAGAAACATTTCCAGAACTACATAAGGCCAAATTGTTGTAATTGTTCAGCAGCCAGAGCTGGAACTGTTGAACTCCGACATTAATTTATAGACACTTAAAGGATAGGTAAGCTCTCTTGGAAACCATCTTTAGTTTTCAGCCTTCCCAGTTTTCCTCCCTGTGAAAGCAGTGTTCTATAATTTATAGACACAGACAGTAGTCTCAGATTTTAATTAGTGCATAGAAATAAGAGCAAGAAATAGAGCTTCATAGAAGTCTGTATTATATAGGTGGAAGCTTCATCAGTTACGCTAAACACTCCCACACATTCCATTTTTCAATCTGACTCTATACTGAATGAGGATACACTGGAGAGGCTGCCTGCTGATCCATTAAAAAACACCAACAGAGGACAGATCAGAATCTGAAAGCCAGAGACCTGTAGCTGCCAAAGTTGCATGCTGCAAGAACGGGCTACATTACAATTACTTTCGGAATTACATTCAATCACACTGCAATTCACTAAAGACAAGCTAAAATTTTCTAGGAGGGCTGTCCCCTTAAGAAGGAAGAGAAACTTTGCAGCTACCACACATGCAGAACATACTGCAGAGTTCTCAAATTTCCATGAAAAGCTGTCATATTAGACAGTCATATGCCCCCAGAGTAACAAATGTTCACCAAAATTTTGATTTATGCTTTCTCTGGCATGGTCATTTTTGTACAGAAAGGGTGCAAAAGTCAAAGATCTCCTGTTCCTCCTTTTTTACCCACTTTCCAATCAGGCTGCTATAAGATGTCTTGTATTACAACTATAATTCTCAACAAACATGGTATTTGTGCTTTATTTTCTTCCACCAAATGAGCAAATAAAGAACCCATGGGCAGTTTGAGTTCTCCCCTGGGATGCTGACAAAGTGAGGTGTCTGGTTGTACCTGGAGAATGAAGCTCTGCTTGGTACTAGTTTGCATTAAATGGCTTCCATGAGAGAAGTAAGCATCAAAGTTTTTCTGATCAAGAGGAGCTTACCAATATCTACAGCTATGCATGCAACCATCATGTAGATACAATGAACAACTTGGAAACAAGGCCTTTCATGGACACAGTGTGTTTTGGTCAAATTAGTAAATTACAATGGCAGCAGCAGTTGCATTGTCTGTGTTTGGATTCCTTGTATGATCCTGCTGGATCATCTACATCCTGATGAGGCTGTAAGCCTCAATATAGTCTTAAGACTCCAGAATACTGGTCAGCCATCCCAGCCACAGCACAGAGACAAAATGCAGCCGGTGCTGACAAGGGCAATATTCCTGGCATTCTGAACCATGTAGTGTGGTTTAAACTCAGTCAGCCACGCAGCCTCGCTCGCTCACTCCCCTCCTTCTTCCTTCCCCCCGCTCCCGAAGGGATGGGGAGGAGAATCGAAAGAATGTAACTCCCATGGGTTGAGACAAGAACAGTCCAGTAACTAAGGCATAACACAAACCACTGCTGCTGCCACCAATGATAATAATGACAAGGGAAATAACAAGGGAAGAGAATACGATACCACCAGCTGACCGATAATACCCAGCCCAACAGACCAGTGAACCAGCCGTTTGGGGTAACTCTCAGTTACATCCCGGGCATGACGTGCTGTGGTATGGAATACCTCTTTGGCTAGCTTGGGTCAGGTGTCCTGTCTCTCCTTCCTCACAGCTTCCCCTCCTCCCTGGCAGAGCACAAGACTCACAAAGTCCTTGGTCAGACTAAATATTTGAGCAGTAACTAAAAACATCGGTGTTATCAGCTCTGTTCCCAGGCCGAAAGTCGAAACCACAGCGCTGCACCAGCTACTAAGGAGAAAAAATGACTGCTACTGCTGAACCCAGGACATGTAGCAAAACATTCAAGGGGACAAGAGCCATAGCGTATATACTGCACACATCAGAGAGCTATGGTAAAAGAAAGTACCAAGGACTTTCTGCAGGAAGCACTGGTTTATTGGAGTCTCACTAGACCAGTGTAACAGGACTGGCATATGCTGCTGGTTGACAAGACAATCGGGTGACATTGATCTCAACAATCTCTGTTGATTAAACACCTGCTGCAGTTGGGAATGTAGACAGACTATCTTGGACTCAAAAACTGTACTAGTATTAACCATATTGCTTGTAATTTTTCAGTTAAACAAAACATTCTATTTTGATTCATATTTATGTCTAATATTGGTAAAATATCCACTATTTTGCTGGTGTATGTGCATGTACTTATGTGACTTAAGAATACCTTTTCTTGCCTTTAAAAGCAAGTTTATTTTCACTTCTTACGTAAAGAAAGGTTAATGAAATCCTTTGTGCTTTGGAGAAGTAGCATTTACTTGTGTACTTTTCTGCTGACTGCACATTATTGTGCAACAAAACTGAAAGGCTGTTGTATGTTCACACCATTTCATTGAACAGATTTTGTTGACCATTAAATCTGAAAAGTGCTTGAAAGTTTCCAGTGTTGTCTTTTGGCTGCATATCAGCACTGAACTTTATGTACATTAATAAAGGTAAAGTAGCAGCAGGGGAGACTTTAAAAAGGTGTCTACAGCTACTATTTACACAACACATCCATGCTGACAGCTAAAAACCAGCCCTTGTGCACCTTTTGGAATTGACCCTTTGTATTCTGCATCCTTACACAATCCTCCAATTTACAGTTTACTTCCTTTCCCAGAAAGTCCTTGGCTCAAGTGTCGGCTGGTTTCTAATGAACAAAAACAACTATTACTTCCTTTGCTGCAAAATTCTAGCTCTTCAAGACATTTTGACCACATAGGTTCTACTCTTGGGCAAATATGAAAGACCACACTTTTGAGGGTAGCAATGTTCCTAAATGCCTTGTGCTCATGGGAATATGAATGACAGACCCTTGTCCATCTCATCCTCATCCTCCCTAAACGGTCTCTCAAATTTACCCATCCAAAGAGAACCAGAGCCTACTGAGCCCTATTCTACCAGGAAAAAAAGGGGGAGAATGTAGAATTCAATGTGTCAACACTACTGACACCAAAGCTACAAGCCACCGTTACTGTCTTCTCTAGTTCCCCCAGAAAACTTTTGCCAGGTGATAGCAGTAAATTCCACTCTTGCTGGAGTCACATGGGCCAGTCCTTGTAAGGAATTAAAAGGTATCATGTGCCTACCTTGGAATAAATTACTCATTTTTTGTATCTCCAGAAATCTCTTCCTGAACATTTCTGGTGTTGACACA